CAAATTTCGAGGAAAAAGCCCTAAACCTAGCCGTTTTCGAGATACAGCCTCCCAAAGGTGCAATTTCGAGTATTTTCAAAATTCAAAAAAAGTCTGAGAGTACCAAAAAGTACAGGAATTTTTTGAAAGTGCCCCTATCGCAATTTGACCTGTACCAGCCTCTTCTATGGTAGAGAAGAAATGAGGAAAGAGATGAATGAGAAAGTTAAGAATGAAAGATAAAGAAATAAGGAATTAATGAAGAAATAAATATAGAAGAAGTAGAAGGTTGGAAATGGATATAGAAATAAAGAAGTGAAGAAGTAGAAAAGTAAGGAATAGAGTTATAAATAGAGTTATAAGTAGAGAAGAAATGAGGAAAGAGATGAATGAGAAAGTTAAGAATGAAAGATAAAGAAATAAGGAATTAATGAAGAAATAAATATAGAAGAAGTAGAAGGTTGGAAATGGATATAGAAATAAAGAAGTGAAGAAGTAGAAAAGTAAGGAATAGAGTTATAAATAGAGTTATAAGTAGAGAAGAAATGAGGAAAGAGATGAATGAGAAAGTTAAGAATGAAAGATAAAGAAATAAGGAATTAATGAAGAAATAAATATAGAAGAAGTAGAAGGTTGGAAATGGATATAGAAATAAAGAAGTGAAGAAGTAGAAAAGTAAGGAATAGAGTTATAAATAGAGTTATAAGTAGAGAAGAAATGAGGAAAGAGATGAATGAGAAAGTTAAGAATGAAAGATAAAGAAATAAGGAATTAATGAAGAAATAAATATAGAAGAAGTAGAAGGTTGGAAATGGATATAGAAATAAAGAAGTGAAGAAGTAGAAAAGTAAGGAATAGAGTTATAAATAGAGTTATAAGTAGAGAAGAAATGAGGAAAGAGATGAATGAGAAAGTTAAGAATGAAAGATAAAGAAATAAGGAATTAATGAAGAAATAAATATAGAAGAAGTAGAAGGTTGGAAATGGATATAGAAATAAAGAAGTGAAGAAGTAGAAAAGTAAGGAATAGAGTTATAAATAGAGTTATAAGTAGAGAAGAAATGAGGAAAGAGATGAATGAGAAAGTTAAGAATGAAAGATAAAGAAATAAGGAATTAATGAAGAAATAAATATAGAAGAAGTAGAAGGTTGGAAATGGATATAGAAATAAAGAAGTGAAGAAGTAGAAAAGTAAGGAATAGAGTTATAAATAGAGTTATAAGTAGAGAAGAAATGAGGAAAGAGATGAATGAGAAAGTTAAGAATGAAAGATAAAGAAATAAGGAATTAATGAAGAAATAAATATAGAAGAAGTAGAAGGTTGGAAATGGATATAGAAATAAAGAAGTGAAGAAGTAGAAAAGTAAGGAATAGAGTTATAAATAGAGTTATAAGTAGAGAAGAAATGAGGAAAGAGATGAATGAGAAAGTTAAGAATGAAAGATAAAGAAATAAGGAATTAATGAAGAAATAAATATAGAAGAAGTAGAAGGTTGGAAATGGATATAGAAATAAAGAAGTGAAGAAGTAGAAAAGTAAGGAATAGAGTTATAAATAGAGTTATAAGTAGAGAAGAAATGAGGAAAGAGATGAATGAGAAAGTTAAGAATGAAAGATAAAGAAATAAGGAATTAATGAAGAAATAAATATAGAAGAAGTAGAAGGTTGGAAATGGATATAGAAATAAAGAAGTGAAGAAGTAGAAAAGTAAGGAATAGAGTTATAAATAGAGTTATAAGTAGAGAAGAAATGAGGAAAGAGATGAATGAGAAAGTTAAGAATGAAAGATAAAGAAATAAGGAATTAATGAAGAAATAAATATAGAAGAAGTAGAAGGTTGGAAATGGATATAGAAATAAAGAAGTGAAGAAGTAGAAAAGTAAGGAATAGAGTTATAAATAGAGTTATAAGTAGAGAAGAAATGAGGAAAGAGATGAATGAGAAAGTTAAGAATGAAAGATAAAGAAATAAGGAATTAATGAAGAAATAAATATAGAAGAAGTAGAAGGTTGGAAATGGATATAGAAATAAAGAAGTGAAGAAGTAGAAAAGTAAGGAATAGAGTTATAAATAGAGTTATAAGTAGAGAAGAAATGAGGAAAGAGATGAATGAGAAAGTTAAGAATGAAAGATAAAGAAATAAGGAATTAATGAAGAAATAAATATAGAAGAAGTAGAAGGTTGGAAATGGATATAGAAATAAAGAAGTGAAGAAGTAGAAAAGTAAGGAATAGAGTTATAAATAGAGTTATAAGTAGAGAAGAAATGAGGAAAGAGATGAATGAGAAAGTTAAGAATGAAAGATAAAGAAATAAGGAATTAATGAAGAAATAAATATAGAAGAAGTAGAAGGTTGGAAATGGATATAGAAATAAAGAAGTGAAGAAGTAGAAAAGTAAGGAATAGAGTTATAAATAGAGTTATAAGTAGAGAAGAAATGAGGAAAGAGATGAATGAGAAAGTTAAGAATGAAAGATAAAGAAATAAGGAATTAATGAAGAAATAAATATAGAAGAAGTAGAAGGTTGGAAATGGATATAGAAATAAAGAAGTGAAGAAGTAGAAAAGTAAGGAATAGAGTTATAAATAGAGTTATAAGTAGAGAAGAAATGAGGAAAGAGATGAATGAGAAAGTTAAGAATGAAAGATAAAGAAATAAGGAATTAATGAAGAAATAAATATAGAAGAAGTAGAAGGTTGGAAATGGATATAGAAATAAAGAAGTGAAGAAGTAGAAAAGTAAGGAATAGAGTTATAAATAGAGTTATAAGTAGAGAAGAAATGAGGAAAGAGATGAATGAGAAAGTTAAGAATGAAAGATAAAGAAATAAGGAATTAATGAAGAAATAAATATAGAAGAAGTAGAAGGTTGGAAATGGATATAGAAATAAAGAAGTGAAGAAGTAGAAAAGTAAGGAATAGAGTTATAAATAGAGTTATAAGTAGAGAAGAAATGAGGAAAGAGATGAATGAGAAAGTTAAGAATGAAAGATAAAGAAATAAGGAATTAATGAAGAAATAAATATAGAAGAAGAAGAAGGTTGGAAATGGATATAGAAATAAAGAAGTGAGAATACGATAATAAGAAAGGAACGAATATAGAAATAGGGAAGTCAAAAAGTAGAAAAGTAAGGAATAGAGTTATAAAAGTAGAGAAGAAATGAGGAAAGAGATAAGTGAGAAAGTAAAGAATGAAGAATATAGAAATAAATATAGAAAAAGAAGAAGGTTGGAAATTTATGAGAGGGGTGTTTCCAAGAGACCAGTATAGGAGACCGGCTCGCGGATGAATGAGCGATCCGAGTCCGGGCTCTGCCTCGCGCGCTCCCCACTCCTCGGCTCCTGCCTCTCACCGAGTCCTGCGCGGCGAATATGCGCGCACACAATTTTCGGCAACTTTCAGTAATTGTGAATATTCTTGGAGACGATTTCTGATTTCTAAGTGTTATTACCTAATTTTATTGATTTTATTAATTATTTTAATATGTCAAACACATAATTTACTAATATTTCACTTTGAGCGTAATTTATTTTACTCGACATTTTACAATTTCAATTCAATTTCTGTTTATACTATTTAGCTTCAATTTTATATTTTGAATAAATTTCTATAGTAGGTCAAGATCCAATAATGTCTAATAGGTTTTGGAAAGCTTGTAACATCATGAAAATCTTACTTTTCCTTCCTACTTTTGGAAACTGGTGGAGCTCGCACGATGTCTCTCAATCTGCTTCCTCAACTCGTATGTTGATATCATTTGCAAATTTCCTCAAGTAGGTTAAATTCATATCAAAGAAATATAATTGACTGAGTGGATGAACATGTATCAACAGGGTAAGTTAGACTGTTTTGTGAATTATGGGGAAACAGTGGGAAAGGTTTTATGAATTTAGAAATGTGGAATGGAGAGGATTAATCTCTCAAATACCACAATGTCGGAACTTTTTATTCTGCAAACGAAACCCTAATATCCTTTCCAAATGGGGTGTATCGAATAATAATAAGTATTACGTAGTAAAATTGAGTACATAAAAATCAAGTAAAAAGACAATAAATACACATACGAATCTATCGTACGTACGCGTTTCAGTTTATTATTAAATTAAAGTTGACATAGGTTATTGTGTATGTCGTACAGTGAGAGAGAGTTGTGTATGGGCAATAGTACCTATCTATAACAATAGAATAGAATTACAATTATTTAAATACAAGTACGTATAATAGACGTATGCATATGTTCTTTTCGGCTTAGATTTTACAATTAAAATGATATAGTATTTTATTTTAATCATCTTAAGTAATGCATTTAGTTCGTTGACGGGTACCGCGTCTCGTAAGCCAAACAGTTTGCTAAATTTGCGTAATTCGCAAAAATACGAATGGCGTAGTAAAATATCGGGTAGCTCCAGCAGTGACAATGCTTCTCGTTCTTGGTAGTAATGAGCGCTGATTGGCCGAATTACGAAACCGCTAGTCAACAAATCCCCGTGCTGTTGTTGTGTAATAATTAATCGTCGTGATGTGTTTCGTCGTCATTTCCGCTGCTTGTTTTCGGAGTGCCTGTTGACAGTCGAAACGTATACGTACGTACTCCCATCAATTTGACAGTCGTAGAGTTTTGGTCCGATCCAATCCGATCCAAATAAGGTCGTTCTGAATGATCAAGGATCGCACTTTTTTTTGTTCCGTTAACGAATACTGAATGATCGACAAGATTTTTTTTTTTAGAAATTTATTAACTCAACATTCTTGAGCACTTTTGCGCATGCGCGACTACAGCGCACGCGCAAATGCGCGCATGATACCTACGTTTGCGACGATGACGATGCGCCATTTTCAAGCGTCATGGGATGATGATGTGGTCACGGGGTTTAGAGATCCTGCCTCGTCTCCTGGACAAGGTAGACCTGGGATCCCGGCACGGTCGAGGTGGTGACAAAGCTACGGTGTTTGGCGCGGATCAAGGTCAAGTTGCTCTCGGCGGTGTCGGCACGGTCTTCCGCGGCTTCCAATTCGCGTTGGAATCGGCGCACCCTCGTCACGCTCTGCTGGGACATGCCCTCCTGTTCCTGGAGCTGCCTCTTGTAGATGTTGACCTTCTGGTTCGATTTGTCTAGGGCCTCCTGGAGGAGGGCGATGTTCTTTGAGTCTTCCTCAACCTGGATCATGACCTCCTTGATGTTGCGTTCCTTCTTACGGAGGATCTTCACGGTCTCGGCGTGTCGGCGCTTCTCCTCGTCCAATTCAAGTTCCATGTCACGGATCTGGCGGGGAAGTGATTTTTTTTAATGATTGGAATTTGTGCTTCGCGTGGATATGATATCGTGTGGTTATAATTACCCTGGCTTCGAGTTTGCTGATGATACGCTTGCCTCCGACGATGGCGTTGGCTTCTACTTCCTCCAAGCGGACGGACAGGTTCTTCACTTCGATTTCCAGGGACTTCTTGATGGCCTCGATCTTTACGATACGTTCCTGCTCCTCGTGGAGGATCTCGACCGTGTGCTTGAGCTCGGTCTGGACGCGCTGGTATCTTTCGTCGCTGATGCGCAACTCCTTGGTCACTTCCTCGTAGTCGCCGGCGAGGGTGGCAAGTTCTTGTTCGAGCTTGGCCCTGGAGGAGGCGATGTTCACGTTGATGGTGGTCAACTCGTTGATGCGGCTAACAGACTCCTCATACTGCTGCTCGACGGTCCTCTTCGCGCGAAGGGCCTGAAATACAAATGATTTGGTTTTTTATGGAATTGTTCATATTTTTTGGAAATTTCTAAAGTGGAATTTCAAGGAAACTTACAGATTCATAATTGGCGCGAATTTCCTCGACCTCAACAGTCAGAGATTGCAGACGGCGCTGGCTGATACCCAACTGGTCCAGGGTCACCTGGAGTTGACGTTGAACCTCATCGTAGTGAGCTTGCAATTCCTTGGAGAAAGGATAAAGTTGCATTACTTATTGTCCTTTGGATTTTTCGAAAACCTTATATTTTTGTTTAACAATCCTGTGTTTCTTACGGTCAGAGTCAAGGACTGCTTCTTGATTGTCTTCTGCAAATCGATATTATTCTTGTTGGCAACATCTAGAGACAATTCCAATTCGGTGATCTGGATCTGCAGCTTCTTCTTTATACGCTGCACTTCGGTCTTCAACTTCGTCTCAGCCTCGACAACACGAGCATTCAGCTGTTCAATCTCGATGCTAGTCTGCTTGCTAGAAAAATTAAAGTAAAAATTTTAAAAATCAAAAAACTTCCAATCATCACAAACAGACGTACATATTAAAATTACCCTAATCTTTGAGGATAGGAATACAAGCCAATTAGGGATATATTACAAGTAACTAACGTACAGTTAGGTACAACAAAAAAGACATTCGCACAATGTATTCAGTCAATTAAAAAAAAAGAACCTCGCATTTGCTTTATCATCACGAGTACAGCATGACTCGAATGACTCGGGATCATCTTTTAGTAAATTAAGAATCGCAAAATTGGCACATTCAACTTATCTACCGAGGATCTTTAATTTTTTTTTCTTTCTCTTTTCGTTCAGCTAATCCGGTACCTCTTGTCCAAAAAGTAACTAGTCGACTTCTTCTCAAAGCCTTTTAATTCTCGATTCAGAGCATCCAAAGGCTCAATGAGCTTATCCTCGTCCAATATATTTTTCGTTCGCTCCTCCATTATGTGCGAATGCTCACGCTCGTCCCACAAAACGTGGACGGCATTTCTCTGAAACTTCCGTATGTCGGCCAATTCCTGTCCACGCGATAGATTCATCAGCGCATCAGCTTTCAATTGAAATTCAATGGCTTTGGCTGATTTTCCACGCAAGCTTCGTCCGTGCTCTAAAGCTTCTTTCACGTTGCCAATCATCTGCACGTCCTTTAGAGCTTGCACCTCCAAATCTGTCATGGCGTCTTGCTTTATGTCACGTGTCTCGCTTTTGGCGCGTAGTTTAATTACTGGCTTCGCCGGCGGCGTGTGTGGCAGCACCTCCTTGGAAACGTGACTCGCGTGAACAGTTTTGAAGAGACTGAAGTCCGAGCGCTTCGCTATCTTTGGATATGGATTAAAGAGCGTACATTATAAATATGGAATTTCGATAATACAATTATTATCGTTGGGTTTGGGGATATTCGAAGAAAAACGGAAACTTGAATTTTTTAAAAATACATTCTACAATAAATGTATTCAATGCGACCCCTGCCATTTATCATTTTTAGTGAGCTGTGCAAAGATTTAATTATTTTGGCACCGGTGAACATTGTCAGCTGATCTTCTTAGTTTACGAAAACAAAATTCAGCCAATCGCAACGCTTCATTTAATTCCAAGGAATTTCGCGTGTTTGGCAACAGTTTTCGACTGCGGCTACTAAACGACAATGCATCTCCAAAAATTTGTAATCACTCGTCACAAAGCTAAGATTATTATTTTTCAAAATACTACCAGACTGTTTTATTTAAATTTCAAATTTCAGTTTTCATCAACATGTCCCATTTTCAGTGAAAAATTCCAAAGTTTCTGGTATTTCAAAAATCAAAATATTCCTTTGATCAGAATACTGCACTTTCTCGATCATTCGAATAATAATAATCAATAGGATGATGAACTTTAAAGAGGAAGCGCTTTAAAAAAAACTAACACGCGCAGCATCCGCAAAGATCGACGTTCTCAAAACAGCGCCCTGAAGCAGCCTCTTCCGTAGGACGGAATTAGACACAGCGAAAAGGTCAAAGAGCCAAAGGTCACGGGGATCATCGATAAAAATCGAAAACTCCGCGCTCTAATTTCCGGGACTTTTTTCGAATCTTAACAAATTATAATAACGCGTACCTTAAAATGCGTCAAATGATCTTTCGCCTGTTCTTCAGCGTCGTAAGCCAACCTCACCAGATCTTGCTTCGTGTACGGATGAACCTTCTTATGCTCCCAAACTGCCCGGCCATCTGACCAAGGCAAGTGGGGATATTCGGACTTGGCTCTGATTCGATTTTGCTTTTGGTCTATATAGTCGATCATTGGCTGGTAGTAGTTAATTCCGTAACCGTAATTCTTATCGTAAACGTAGGTCGGCTTATGACGCCATTTTGATTCCAGTGGCATCTGACAGAGCGGCATACTTCCTGCCATTTCTTTTTCGTTTCGATCGATTCGTATCGTTAACAATTTTTTTCAACTTTCCTCCAATTCACTTTTGACAAAAAAAAATTTTCTTACGTATATTCGAAAATTTTACAAATTTTCAAATAATGATTCTCGATGATTCGATAGGTCGATTTTAAAAAAATAATGTATTTACGCCCAGTTCAATCTATTTCTTAAAATGATTTTTACTATCAATTGTTCTGCCGATTTATATAGGTACTTGGTGTCATTTTTTTTTTTTTTATTAATTATCACTGATCTCCTTCTCGGTCTCGTCGTGCATGCGAAACTGTCAACGGCACAATAAACGCAGCGGACGGACGATGCGGTCGACGTTACTGATAATTAGGGTCGTAAAGAAGGTCCGTTGTTACTTTTGTACCTTTTTTCATGGTTGCCAAATCGAATTGTCGATCGAGAACAACCAATCAGAATCCAATGCAAATAAATGGATCGTGTATTCGGCAATGCACGCCTGGTTTCACGCTTTATTAATAGAGACGGCTCTCTTGGGCCAGATATAGTTTGAGACTTCGAGAGCTTACCGATCCCAAGTCATTGATCATGCGACGTATTCCCATTGAAATAAATATATTTAATAATCCACGTAGATGATACAAAAAATCTATCAGCATTTGTTTGAGTGTGAAAGAAATTTTTTTCAAAAGATTTTGTATAAATTATAAACTGTGTGGAAAGTACAAAAATATATTAGAGGAAAGAAATTTGAAAATGTTTCATTAGCTCCAAATAGATCATTCATCGTACTAGAGGAGGCAGGAAGGAACAGTCAACGAATTAATTTATCACGACTGTACATCGATGACTAATTCGAACTATCCTCTATTAATAGATCACTGGGTAGAAACAGAACGTGTCCCCACGCTACTTGAATAAAAATACAATGGAGTTACGTCACGTCCTACTAAGCTCAGTCGGTAAAATATAATTTCAAAGATAGTAAAATCCCTGGGTTAAATTTATAGACTAAATGACTGTCGTGTCAATGATTGTGTTCAAAGTGAAAAGTTCATAGGGCAAATGTCAAAATACAATCGCATGCACCAGTTCATACATACACAAGATAGAAAAATTATTTTGGATATTCAGGATCAGTTGGAAACTTTGGGAAAAAAAAAAGATTTGCAGTCCGATTAATACATGACTACTATTACTTACCGAATGGCCTCGATTTCTTCGTCCTTCTCAGCCAGACGACGTTCGGCCTCGTGACGGAACTGGCTAAGTTCAGCAGCCAATCGCTGAGAGCGCTGCTCCTCGACCTTGCGACCCTGTATTTCGAAAATTGGCCCAAAAAGGAAATGTGTTAAAAAATAATTCAATCGCTCTTTGGTAAATTTTCAAAAATATTTTTCGATCACTCACAGCCTCAGCTTCCTTGTAGGCGGCAGCCAATTCCTCGCGCTCGTTCTCCAGACGACGAAGCTCCAGTTCCAATTCGTGGAGTCTGCGGTTCATGTCAGCCAGTTGGTTCTTGGCATCGGTCAGGTCATCTGGAGGAATGATCATCAATGTTGTTAATTGATTATAAAAATTGTTAAAAAAATAATTGTTCTCAATCCTGAGATCCCTCAACGTGTTCCAATGTATATTTAGCACGTTTTGAAATTTCTAATTGAATTTGAAAATGCGGTATGACTTACCTCCAAGCTTCTTGTTTTCACGTGCCAGCTGATCCTTCATCTCGCGAGTCTTGTCCAGCTCAGCATTGGTGCGCTGAAGTTCCTGCTGCTTGTTGCGAAGATCGCGTTGACTTTGTTCGTAGAGAGAAACAGTTTCTTCTAAACGAGACTTGATCTCGATGTTGATCTTCTCCAGCTGCTCAACACGCTTCTGGAGGTCGCGCGCGGTACTATTGGCCTTGAAAGAGAGGACAAAGTTGTTAAATTTGAAAAAAAAAATTATTAGAAAAATCAATCAGATCGATCACTTACCTTCTCGAGATCAATAATCAGAACCTCGACCTCAGACTGGAGGCGAGACTTCTGCTTCTCAAGGTTATTGATCTTGACCAATAATGTTTCGATGTGCTCTTCCTGTTCCTGAATGCGAGCGCCGTACTTGCGACGCAGTTCTTCAACCTGGACGACAATAACGAAGGGTTTGTAATGACTGTTAATTATTCGAGATTTAATTAATATAAAAAATTAATTACCTCCTCGGCACGAGCATTCGCTTCGGTCTCGTACTTGGACCTCCATACAGAGACCTCACCATTGGCTTTAACCAGCTGGCGTTCGAGGTCCAGACGAGCCTCAGATTCTTCTTCAAGCTGGACGCGAACGGACTCCAGCTCGACCTCAACCTGGATTTTAATAAATGCAATTATAAGTTGTCCAATTTGGAGTATTCTTTTCGAAATGTTTTTTTGAAATTTCTTTGGAAATTTTACCTGGTGTAGGGAGGCCTCGACCAAAGAACGACGACGTTCTTCGTCCTCCAGACGACGGCGGGCATCTTCGAGTTGTCCGGCGATTTGAGACTTCAGGTAAACGACGTTCTCGATATTCACCTGTAATACAAGTTGGATTTTGGTTTTTTTTTTCATTCAGACTTCCTTCATGGATTTTTAACTATAGTTTTGATTGTATGCGTGGTTGCTGACTGTGGACGAACCTTAAGGTCCTGGACTTCCTTGGTCAACTCGATATTCTCCTGGGAGAGGCGAGTCTTGTGGCTGGTGATGTCGACGATCGTGCGGTTCAGCTCCTCGATCTTTACGTTAAGCTCAGATACGTGAACTTCGAGTTTCTCAACGGTTTTCATGGACAGGAGCTTTTCCTTCGTGACATTGTCGACCTGAGCGAGCAGTTCGTACACTTCCTGTTGGAATTTCGACTTCTCCTTATCGGCCCTGAAAAAAAAATATTCAAAATTTATCCCCTTTCCAAGATACAAAAACTCATAAATATTAAATATTGATATTTGAGTTACCGTACGTGTAGGATAAGATTTTTGAAAATATTCTAAATTTTTTTTCCTAATATTTTCGAAAATAGACCGTTATTTTTGAATGTTTTTTTTTCCAATTAATCATTGCTTATCCGTGTTAAACTAGTACAGTTCTATCATGTCTAACCGATACTAACCGTTCATTGACAATTGCCCCGTGACATTTTTGGATTTTTTAAATACAGTTTTCTGAAAATATTTATTTCACGTAGCAATTCCAAAATAGACGATCTGCAGATATATTATGGATACGTAAGGTTTTTTTTTTTCATGATACATATTTGTCCATGTGCGAATTCCATGTGAGCAACGTGTCAACGACATTTTTTTTCCGAAGGGGTAAAAATTGCACAAAATTTACATCCACCTACACTCCGTGGAAGGTGTAAGGTGTCAGTCAGTTGATTCTGAGGATAGTGGGGATTCGGGCCAGTCGCGTGTACTAATATGGCGCGCCAACGTGGGGTTGAGGATTGCTTCGCTACTCGCACGGTTAAAAATAGTCATAAGCCGAGCAAGCGGCCGAGCAAAAGGGAGAGAGAGAGAGAGAGAGAGAGATAGTAGGAGAGATCAAGAGACCCGCAGAGTCCGAAAGAGAGTAGACTATGTACGCGAGAGAGAAAGAGACAGAACTAAGAAAAAACAAAAAAACTGTTCATCACAAGTTACAAGTGCTATTTTAACAGAATCCGCCATTACGTATTTCGAGTCACGTCTTTGTCAAACAGGTGGAACGTTTTCGGTGGTCCGCCACTGGAATGTTTGAAAAATATTTGAGAATTTTGGAAAAGTCAAAAAAAGCTTTTTTCTAAGAGGAGAATGTCATTACGAAATTTCTATCAGACACCGCTCGAATGAAATGTTATTTCAATAAATATTTCTGATTTTCAAAATGGTCTAAGTCAAAATTTATTTATTTTTATTAAAATTCATACCGGGTGCTTCATAAGATTTAGAAAAAAAAATAAAATAAAAACAGGATCTCGCGTTCGACACGTGACAAGTTACTGTCATAATGCTCGATCCACAAGACTAATGTTCCAGCAAAGCCGGAAGTCGTTAAAGTGAATAAATGACTTCAGCGACGAGCTTTAAGTTTCTCAGAAACTATCATTTGTATACGGGATAAATAAGAATGACGTGAAATTAAAAAAAAAAATCATTCATAATTTTTTTCCAAGTAAAAATACTCTATCCAAAATCAGTGTACTTTTTTTCCGAGTCATTAAAGCTGAATTCACAAGTGTCAATGTAAGTCGTGTATCCATCAAGCTTATTGATCTTTTAACAGTCAATTAACCGTCTAAAGCCTCACGTCACGGTCAAAATGTCGCGATGGCTAATTTTTTTGTCTTTATTTAAAGTCACGCAAAAATAGTCAGCCACCCCGTTAATTAGAGAGCTCTTCTTCTCTTATCTGACGACGTCCTTGTAACATTGTCGTGGAGATCCAAGGAACGACGCCGGGCGCCGAAACATTAACCTATGTTTAGAAACCCGAGGGACGGTTCTCTATGTATTTCAGGTGCGCCGCGACGACTGCTCTTCGCTTGGACAGCGGCCAGTCTCGCAGGCATAATCCGAGAAATTTTAAGATACTTTCCGACCGGGATTTGCTATATTTACGTGAGATCCTTAAGTCTGATTCATACTACGAGAACCGATTTCAGGCTACCTCGCTTTTGGCCGCGCTGAATCACATATGGAATTATAAATCCTCGTCGTGAAACGAGCAGCATCCGGTACCAATTTGAATGAAGTAAATATTTTGAAAAAGAATTTTTCCAAAATCGTTGCAACAAAATTTACGTGACATTCATTCAAATTTCTTTTTTCACATTGTCGCGAACACGTCAAACGGATGATAGTTGTATGATTTTTTTCAAAAAAATTTAGCGACCGATATTTTTGACTCAAAAAAGCTCCTGATGTTATTTGTTATCTTTTTTAATTTTTAAAATACTAACCTAGCACGAGCTTTGGAGAGCTGGTCGATCTGATCTTGGAAATCAACCACGACTTCCTGGTGCTTCTTGCGCAGAAGGTGGGCGGTCTCCTCACTTTCGAGGTGGACATCTTCGAGGAGCTTACGAAGCTTAGCCAACTCCGTGTCTCTCTTTCTGTTGATCTCGAACTATATGACACGTGATGAAAATCATTAATACGATATGAATAATATAAACGTACTCTACCAAGTATTTTACTGACCGGTGTCATGACAAATAAAACATTATTCATTGGGAGAGAATAGATAAATGACAAAATATTATACGTACTTCTTTTCTCAAGCTACACTCTATAGATTATTTTTCAAAAAAACCTTAAATTAAGAAATTTTTTTTACCTGAGATTCGGCGCCACCCTCGGCCTCTTCAAGGCGTTCGGACAGCTGGATGACTTGCACGCTCAGATCAGCGCGCTCGCGTTCGATCTACAATAAAAAGAAAAAAAAAGAAAAGAAAAAAAAATTACCAAAAAAAGAGTAATACAAAGTACTGATCATTAGTTAAAAATTAACGCAATTCTTTCCCTTCATAATTCATTCATTTGCATGATGTCGTAAGCGTCGGAATTGGTAAACACGTCGGACGCGCATGCGCACATGTCTATGCGCAAGCGCAGATGACCGTCTGATCAGTTGATTGATGCTATTCTTCCTATGCGCTACGTAATAACTTCCGCAAGACCTTCCAATCTCTAATCTGGTATCTAACACCCATTATGGACCAAATGATTCATCAGATTGTTTTTCGGGAGACAATAATGACGATGTGCATGGCTCGGTGCCCTCGGCGCGCGCATGACGTCATGTTTCCTCACACCGTGAATAGCGCGATCTAATTTCGGACAAGCGAATCTACTTATACGCAGACCTTTATTCATATTACAAACGAGCTGTTTATCGTTAAGAGATATAGGTAACTCTGGGTTGGTAGTACTGAACGATCGGCCATAGGCGTACGGTGTTTTTTTTTGTTCGCCAAGCGAGTAAGGCGGGAATTTCAAAATTGGATTCTAGTCGCAGTACATAAACTTGAGGGGGTTAAAGGCACCGTGAGCAACAGAAGTGACGTAACATATTTTTATTTAACAAAAACTCAAATTCTTTTTTTCGAAAGAACAAGCTCCGCGTGCATTTCCCATTCCATTTACGCTTTCGAAATTTATACTTTCCGTAATACTGAATAAAAATTTGACGTTGGATCAAGTCACGTTTACAGATCTGTTATCATTTTCAACCGATCTTCAGCTGGTTGCTTAATTATGGGATTTAAATGACAAGTACACATGCTCTACTGGATGAACATTTTTGCAAATGGTTCCAAGTTATTTTTCGTATTTTTACGATTAGATAGTTCAACTATGACAAGTGTCATAGGGCACCTTTTTCTCTATGGCGTCGTCACGGGTACCAAGCGGTACCAGAGTATAATCACATGCGCGTCCACCATTATCAATCGAACCGGTACCATAATGGCGGCCGATTTTTCTCACGTAAAGTGGGGAGGTCTACGTGCGATGGCTACAAGCCGTTGGAATGAAGGAATGCGAAGATGCTCGCGAAGGCCTGAGCACCCGAAAATAGAATCGACGCGAGCTGGACATTTCAACCTAGTGGCGCGTCCCCACTACAGCTGCAGACGTAGTTTCCCGAATTTTCTTACACGAGTTGAAATCACGATATTCCGATAAGCAGGATCCAAAAATAATATCCACCATACCCAAGGATGCTCAGGTTCTTATCTCATGAAAATTTAGATTACAAATTTCCTCGTGATTTCTGTTACTCTGGGTAATTGATTGCAAATTTTATCAAAAATACGAATTTCTTTATTTTTAACTCACCCTCTGACGCAACTCCCTCTCAGACTCCAAATCATCCTGAAGGAGGCGGATTTTGTCCTGCAAAAAAAATTAGGGCTAGAATTGTCATCGATTCCAAATCATTATTAGGACAACTCGGTCAATGCCAGAAATGAGGAAAAAAAGGTTACAGGTCATCGAAAGGTGCTAAGGTTCGGGTTTATAAGATTATTGGTAACCCGAGAAATGTATGTCGATTACAACAAAAAAAAATCAATGATCTTATATAACTTTTTTTTACAACGTTAATATTTATAAAACCACAACAATTTGTTAAATTCCTACGTAAATGGTGTTAACGTCCAACATTTACTCTTCCATAAGGGATTTTTTTTTCTCTCTTCGTAATTGACATTTACATCGAGTCTCCCCCCAAATAAAGAATAAGAGAAAAAGAACAAGGATACGTTACTGGGCAGTTAGCAAATACGGACGTAGGATCGGTAGACATTTAAAGATAATCCATGACTATTTTAGTACGGAGCAATCCGATAGCTAGAGCATGAGTACACTTTGGTTCGGTCAGTTGGCACTAACATCCCTTATGGTCACTGAACTTTCGGGCACACGTTTCTTTTCACTTTGAGCGATGATTGGGTCTTGGACGACAATCATGAAGTCACTTAATCCTTATCACAGAGTCATTCCCGATGATGGCGAATGACGGTAACCATCCACGAACCGGGTTGTCATCCTCATCATCAGCATAATCCATCCATAGAAGCAGTAAATGTTTCAAGGACGTTCGTACACGAAGAGGAATCATCCAAGTCCTCCACCACTCAAACACAGTGATAAAAAAAATATTGGATGATCACAAAATTATCCTCAACCCAAAAACGATACTTACTACCTCATAACGGTACCCCCCCACAAAACAAAGGGTCATCAAAATCTCTGACCAAGTCTAGAACCGTTCGGTGCAAAGGATGAATCGCATGGAGTCAATGTAGGACGTGATTATGGGAATGGGATTGTAACGGGTAAATGATTTTTTAAAACAGTCAAAATGATTACCTACCTCGAGCCTGGAGAGAGCGCTCAGGTCGGCGCTGTACTCGATGCTGACATCGGCAGATCCTGCACCACCGGACGAGCGGTACGTGTACTTGGAACTTTTGGCGACCGCTGAGGAGGACATGATGATCTTCAACGGAGACGAGCGATTGTACGATCTTCACTTAATTATACAAATTCCTCCCTTCTAAGCACGATTACTGTGCACTTCGCGTTTCGTATTCGGGTTCTCCAGATATTTTCGAAGTCCGGTCTATCCTGGCCTTGGTATCAGTCGCCTCTGTCGTGTCTTGGGTTTCGGAGCCGACCAGCGCCCTACTCGTAGTGCGCGACCCGTCGTTCGTATGGCGCGCCGGCCGCTCCATGGCCCCGTCAAAATTACGAGCGGCGCATGCGCAGATCGTCGGCACCCACGTGACCGTCCCCCACCACCAACCTCCAAGGAAATCTTCGTCCTCAGGCTGATGCGTAAGACGCCACCGGTGGCGGTTTACATTTCCAAAAACATTGTAGCCCAAGGTGCCACGAGCCAGATACGTATCATCGGGGGGGTGTTGAATGTCTTTTTATTGTTAGACCATCCCCTTGTTCCAAACACGGACCCCCCCCACCCCCACCCCTCTGTCAATGTCTTAACTGACTTTGGCAGTTAATTGTCTCGTGACGTCATTTAGGATTTCGGGGTGATGAGGGTGGGTTTGAATTTTTGGTTTCGGTTTGAGGGTGGCTTTTCGGGTTTAGGTCGGGGGTGGGTTGCTCAGGTGAGACTTTAGCTGAGTGTTACTCGGTTATTGTGATTTGATAGACTTTCCGTGGGCTGAGTCACCCTTGCGGAATCTTACGGGTTATTACGAGTCGTGGCTCGCGATACGCGATACTATTTTTACGTAGCTGTCTGGAAACTGGTCATTTTAATTTTTTTTTATGATTTGCGCCGAAAATAATTTAATGGAATTAAGAGATTTTTTTAAATATTAATTTGACCTGTCGGAATATTTTATTTGACTTTTTTTCTTCGACGGAAACTGATTTCTCGCAAAATATTTTTCGCCCATTTTTCATTCCGTTTAATCAGTTATCTTCTGATCGTTATGTCTTATCGTGGACTAGAAACGCCAGGCATCTTAGTATTCGCGACAATGGCGTCTCTGCTTTTGCAGACAACCACTCGATGACAGAAACGGTCGTACGCAGTGCCCTCTGACTGGTTAACAAACTTGGTAGTTTTGTCAAAGATCAAAGAGAACCCATATGACATAACTCCAATGACAGACCATGTATCTGTATGAAAATAAAATTCAAAATTGTCTCTCAATAAAAGATTGGAAAAAGCCAAAATCATTTCGAAGTATCCGTAATGTTTTTTTTTTTTTCAAATTCGAAAAAAAGTTCAACCTACACTCCCGTAACCTCGTGAATTCACGAGGTCTGAGATGAGAAAATTTTTGTAATAAAATTACGGTTTTCACTGTATTTTCTTGGCCTAACATCTTCGCCCCACTACCAGGAGTGTCTATAAAAGGTCGCCGGACGGTGGTGGGCAAGAGATGCTCACCAGCCTGGCTAAAGCTCCTCAAGTAATTTGAGATTAGCCTCTCTCGTTCCGTTCTTCCTCGCTCTTCAGCGTTGTTAGCGCACTCTCGGGTGGCTCACTCTAGTGGAGAATTCCAGGCATTAACGACCATGCCTAGAATAACTTCGGTTTCGGCTATACTAAATAGCGTTCAGGAGCACAGAACTTCCTTGTATTTGCACACGGAACAGAGAACCAGAGAACCAGATCCGAGCGCTCATTGTTATACTCTTATTGAATGGCCTCCATGTGCACTGTGTCATGTCTTTGGCAGCGGATTAATGACAGTAATGTAGCTTGAAAGGAAAAATAAAAAAAATATAAATTTTTCAAAAATTTTGAAAATATCGTAAAACCGTCTTGAGTATCTCTGAGTCATTTGATTGAAATAAATTATTGCATTTTTGAATGGTTATCACATGTTTTTCTTTACCGTATACGAGGAAATATTTCAAAAATACTTTTTTGTCGTTTGAAAAGATTTTAATTTAATTGAAAAAAAAATAATTGTTTAATTATTATGAGAGCCCTTGATCGTTATCGCTTCTCTTTGTCTATCGTCTTAAGGCTAGTTTAAAAGGAAGGACTGTCTCCGAGTACTCGGTTAGGCACGCTGCCCTAATTTTCTAAATATACACTCCTCTGACTCCCACTGCTTGAATTCACATGCAACGTATTAAAAGATCTTGACTCGTGGACGAGTGTTTATAAACACCCCCAATCCTTCGATCGAGGTGAGATTTTAATTGAAGGTACCAAGTGTCGGGTGATTTAGGCAATTAGTATACCGATTTCGAAAAGTAAATAAAAAAATATATATGTAGCCTTGTATACATTTTTAACACGAGTAATATATATTGCGATTAGGATTTGATTATTTGAGTATATATGTATAAATGAATATAAAAAAAAAATATTCACGTGACCAGTGCTGTTTTTGTTAATTAAAATTTTGCACGCACGTTTTCGCTTGGAAATTGAGCTAAGCTGACAATGACAGGATGATACTGATATTTTGTTGTCAAAATTAAAAAAAATCAGTTTCGTACAAAAAATTGTAGAGCATAATTGTTTACATAATTATTCTATGTTTAGTCAAATTTTTTAAATTTTTTAAAATCGAAGTCACTTGATCTTGAACAAACGTCGAACACGTGTTCGCTCATGTTTTTATCACTATAAATCGTGTGAACCAAAAGTTTGTGTTGCTCGAGTTGACGTGACACGAATTGAGCCACAGGTGGCTCCAGAGTGTCTGTCCCAAAAAAAACCTAGACTGGTCAATCAATAAACTAATAATATTACAACGAAGAAGATCCATACTATTTTCTTTTATTGGAACCACATGAGGATTCCTAAAAAAATATTCCAAATATGTGTTCAAAAGTAATCTATTGCTTCAAGAAACAATGGAAAACAATTTTATGGCTATTTGGAATTTTCAAAATTTAACGATAATTTTATTAAAAAATTAAGAAAACTATACCCTACTTTTTTTATAATATAAAAATTTTGTCTACTTTTTTTGGTTTCATTTTTAACCAAATACAATGGATTAATCGAATGCTCAGACACTTCTCAAAACAGTCGTACAATCATAAACAATCTGATTCGACCTAGTTTGCCTACTGCGAATCTAATTTCATAATTTGTGGCTATTCACTTTCTGTTCCATGGCTGGTGTCATAATTTATAAACTTTATTGAGATTTTCAAATTGCAAATTGTCCACTGGGATTTTATGTTTCGCTGAAATGTACTTTTTGGCACGGTTATCATTTGTGAACGTACTCGCGTGTTACGAATTATATTTAATACACAAAAATGCAAAAAATGAATGCGTGGGTCGCATGAATTTTACCAATGGAAATGGCAGGTTGCAAAAAAGAAACTGATATCGGTATGCATAAAAAAAACTCCCACGCAAAAAGTACTGAATCACTGAGCGTAAGAAAAGTGTGAAAAATTGCAAGAAAAAAGTGCCAAAACGATATCCGGCTGTTTTTGGAAAATTCGTGACTAATACTCGATATTATTAAATTGGCCACGTAAACGTAAATTTCAAACGAATTCGTCATTGGTGAAAAATCCCAAAGAATGACGAAACTGTCTCTAAAAATTTTGACGAAAAACTTTTCCAATTCAAACAACTTGACGATACATTTATAATCATAAACTGCTATCCAAAGGTGCAAATAATATTTATTCGCGTGCTCAAATTAATTTTTACTAAAAATTTATCTTCGCCAAATTTTTCTTAGCGGTAGATAAATTGATCGTTCAATTTTTTATTTCTAAACGTCAACCAAAATTCAAATTCTTGTCACTCCTGAAGACTCGTAAGTGTTGGCGACTTGCTCACTGATATTTTTATTGCGTGCGGTCGGATATTTATAAGCGAGCGTTCCTATATCCGGAACCAAATATTTCTGGGTGATTTCAAACTCGACGTGAAACTCGAACTGAGTGGCTTTTCTCAAAGTTGATTAAAACAGCCTGCAAATTAATTATAAAAACAGCCTTAAGCCTTGGAGCTTTATGGCGAATATCGAGTAAAATACCAAAATCTTGTCATACGTCAAATTATCGAAAAGCGGATTCCCAGTCAAGGGAAATTTGATGCGAATGACTATTTAATTAATATAGCCTAAACTACTCTAATCAATAGTAAACGTGACCTTTCATACATATGGGAAGTCAAATATTTCGTGTCTCTCGATTTTTGATACTTTAACTGCTTCCAAGCAATCTTAGCCAAGGGCACGTGAATTCTTTTTTAAACTTGCCAATACGATCGCTGACGCAATTTAAAAACTTGTCAAGTAAAAGTCGTTTGAATACAATACAAAGTGAAAGAACGAAGTTACGGCGATTTAATTCACCGACTTTCTTTGGAAGTACACATTTTTTGGACTAAACCTTGAAAAGTTTTTTGACATTTTATGAAGGAGCTTTTTTTTCAGAATTTACGAAATCCCCAGCTACTGCGAGAGAAATGAGGATAAGTCAGATTATATGATTTTCAAAATTCAAAAGCGTGAATCAGAGGCGGGCTTTTCAAACAAATTTTATATAACTTCTATCCATCTTCCGTGATGTGTTTCAAGCATTTCACACAAAAAATTTACAGCGCCGTCGGCAAAGACCATGTAGAGTTAAGGACAGTATCGGCTGAAGATAAGTACAGAGTTGAATTGGGAGATGGTCAACAGAGATCAGTAGGGAGATGCACAGCGCCACGGTTTTAGGCGATACCTAACATCGGTAAAATACCTATTGAGGATACTTGTCGCACCATACGCTTCAGTGCAGGCATGCATAAGAAGCTGGTTTTCAGTGTTACTTTAAGATTGTGTTTCAAACAGTTCCGGGATAGTTATCTCTAGTACTCAATGATGGGACCATTAGTTCCGCCTGGGACTATTGTTAAATAATGCTGGAAGCTAGCACGGAAGCACTGCACTCCTTAACCCTTTTAGTGCCGGGCGAAAAACCGGTGCCTATGCGAGAATAACCGGGCGAATTTGACGAATTTTACTACGAGTTGGGAAAAGGGTTATAAAAATCAAACTAAAAATGATAATTACATAATTAAAAAAAAACAGCGTACTACGGAAGGAAGAGAGAATAAATGTAATGCTAATTGTATTTCAACATTTATTTTGTGATAGAGCTTTCTCGCGATGCGAGGAATAAGCATACGCAACGATATATCGTCGTCCGGTACTAAAAGGGTCAACGCAGGCAGGCATGAGATGCTGGCTTTTCTCATAGTAAATCTGATTGAGCTTACACTGCACACTCGAATTTAAGATTACAAAAAAAAATATTTAGGCAATATCTGATATGTGGTCACTTTCTAAGAGTTGCTTTGGGAACCAGCGGTAAGTTGCGGAGAATCTCTGCCGGCCAGACTACACGTTCGTGATCATGTTCAGGTCGGCTACGGCGGGATGTGCATTATCGACGGAGGCGGTGATCACGAAATCCGACTCCCGGACTCGCCGCTACGATTTAGCGCCATGATTTTGGTGTCGCCTAAAGCCGTAGCGTTGTGCATCTCCCTACTTAACTCTGCTCCCTACTCATATCTGCTCCCTACTCTGTAGAAAGTCCATTTTGTTTTTGGCCGGAATATGACAACCGAGTTAATATTTGTGGAACTTGCACGTGTATCTCTGAAGGACAATGCCGACTTGTCGCTGGTTCAAGAACGACTGATCATAGGTTCTTTGATTTTACGAGGTAATGGATGCTGCAACTCATAGGTGGCAGCATTGTCGATGACCCGTAATGCAGACTCGCGTAAAACCTAGCGCACGTAAATTTCTGATCTATTTATTTCCAGTAAATGAAAGTATTTGATTATTTTAAGGTGTTTTTTTCAATAAACGTTAATAATGTAAAACGACAATTTTGAAAATTGATATTTTATTCCCAAAACACCCGTTAAAATATTCGCTGCTGTTACGTTTACTATTGGTACCGGGATTTAGTGCCAGATGGCAGTACGAAAAAAAAAAAAAAAAAAAAAAAAATAAACGTTAATAATGTAAAACGACAATTTTGAAAATTGATATTTTATTCCCAAAACACCCGTTAAAATATTCGCTGCTGTTACGTTTACTATTGGTACCGGGATTTAGTGCCAGATGGCAGTACGAAAAAAAAAAAAAAAAAACATCTAGAGTATTCTAATCACAGAGTCTTTGACCATGTATTATCCGAAAATAAAAAAGCCATTAGTAAAATAAGACAACGAAACAAGAATTCTGCGTAAAAAAAGTATTTTTGCAAAGGCATACTTTTATTTTTGGGAGTCCAGGTTATTAATTCTTTTTCTACTTTATATTTACAAATTAGTCGGTCACGCGTATTTATTCGGGAACAAGGAAAAATTCCTCATAAGCTTCAGTTCGATGGTTTACAATAAATGTTTCACGTGTAAATAAAACTTCAAATTGGGAACATTTTATCCGAAATTCTCTTCCTCAATGACGCGTAAATAGCATTAGACACTCATAAATAATCTTTGGCGGGAAATTTGAATCCGAAAAAAAGTGACACTCGCAGCATCCCAATGAGAAATCTTTTAACAGACGACACGACAATTCCCATGTTCTCAGTGTTCCCTGGATTCTCAAGATCCTCATCGTTTGTTCTAGACAAGGGGGAAATAATCCAAAATGGCGGAATCCATCCGCCAGCAACATTGCCTTCATTTCCTGGCCAAAGAGTTTCCTGGTAGTTTCACAAGTTCGTGGTTCCATTACCGCAGCAATATAGTTTCAAGAACGATCTACCTAACCGAATTTGCGTATACAAGATACGAGCAGATGCATACAGACACAAGTCACACACATTCTACCCGAACTGGGAGAAATTCCCCCACAGAGATTTTACAAAAAAAAAAAAATAATTTTAATCTTACCTAAAAAACATAAAATATTCAATCCAACTCTAGTTTACTTACTACAAAAAAAAACTATTAAAATAATTTAAACAGAAATCTATAGAAAATTCTAATTGCCTTAACTCGAACCAGTAAGCTCAACGTTGTTTCAGGTTGTTTCCGGACTTTGAGCCACTTCCGGTTCATCCGTTCACTCAGCAGGTTCATCCTCAACGAAGTTACAGGCTCAACACGGACTCCCTACGAGACTCGGCTGTGCATAGAAGAAAGAGATTAAAGCTATTCTTAAAATAGGTCTCGTTCACTCTCTCACTCCTTTACACACGTGCTCACTCCCTCTTTCTCTCTCTCTCTCGCAGGGAGAAAATACTGTACGAGTGAGACAAGGATACTGAAAGAGAGTACCGGAGATTGGTGAGGCGAGAATGAGAGAGAAAAGAAGAAAGAGAGAGAGAGAAAGAGAATGAATATGTGAGCGAGTGAAGCAGGGAGGACGAAGTGGCTCTCGCGGGTTGCCGACTCTTCAAGTCCGAGACTCGTCCGGGACTCGTCCGAAACGTCGAGCGCCGGTAGTGCGCGCTCTTGCGCACTTCGTCCCGTGCGTTGCGTTTAAACAATTTCTTTTTTCTTCAAAAAAAAAAACAATATACGTGCGAGGGGTCGATCTTTAATTCGCGAGTGATCATCGATCTCGGATCGATCGATCGTATTTAATTCGACCGTCACCTATCGATAACTAACGCAAAAGTTAATTAAAATTTTTTTTAAATTTTCAAAATTGTCGCGCAACCTTTGAAAATCACAGGAAGTGCGGGACGTTTACTGTTTTACCAGTGACTATATATAAGTACGATTTCCAGGATTATATATTAATATTGAATAATACTATATCGATTAAACGACCAGGGATCATGTCATCCTACAAAAGCTACGTAAGTCACTCGTTAAATTTCTTTATCCGACTGTACCAACGTTGATTAATAAAACGTGTAAAACGATATTCAATCTTTTTTGAATTTTCATTTATCTACGTTCAACGTCCACCTCATTTTGACGATTTATTGTCGTCTCTACGATTTCATCAACATTGGACGGTCACGTTGTTTTGGGCACGTTTATTAATCGAATTAATAAAAAAAATTATCCAACGGGCCCATCTCTATCTGTACTATTATTTATAAACTACTCGGACCACTTATCGCATATGAATATATTAACGCTATTTTTCTTGTGGCTCAACGATCCATTAACCGCCGTATATAGGTATACCTTGCACGCATAAGATTCTTGTATGCCGTTCGTGCTTTTCAAGGTTTCACGTACCTTTTTGAAAAGGGCTGAAACCACCGCCGCCTAGACTTATCCGTGCTCGCGTCCAGCCGCTACGCAATTATGCAATGTAAATGAAGTCCATTAACTTTATCGTCGCGGCGCTTCGGGCACGCAAGCGTCGGCTACTCTCGCCGTGTAAATAGTGTTTACAAAGTGTCGTTAATACAAGCTAGCGTGTTTACAACGAAGATGACGTACAATTTTTAACTTTATCAATTCCATACACACATTTGCATACCAATGATGACCATGATAATAATAACAGTAACGCATTAACTTACGACAAGCATATGTATACCGTTAATCAAGAAATCAGTCGTGGGTCAACGTGTATTACGTATTTTTGAAAAAGGAAAAAACAATTTATACTACAACAGTTTTGGAATCGATACTCGACGCAGGATCTGACGTAACGTTTATTTGGATGCAATTTGAGATTTTAATATTTTTCATTTTTATTAGATTTTTTTTAAATTTATTTAGGCAACGATTGAGTTTTTTTTTCAATATCGCATTTTCATTTTTTTTTTTGGACTGCACCGCCGTGCTGCGTTACGGCAATTTCTATATGCGAAACCGTCGCGCATTTACGTATAACAAAATTAGTCGGGTCTTTCCCAGACATCGTCTGCTACCCAGGTTCGTGTAAACCTTTCTTCAACGGCTTCAAATACATTGGGCCACATGACGCATTCAGAAATATACAGGGTGTCCGTTTTCAAAGTGACTTAACCAGATCGATCAGTTAATCACGTGACGCTCCAGTTATCCCTGCCGTTGCGCAAGTAGATAAACGAGTAGGTGGTCAGGCGAATTTTTAACGATGCAAATCGATATTCCACTGGGGTCTCATAATCGATACTCATCAAAAACTATCGATATGTCAACTTACAGAGAGACAACTGAACTTTAGATTTTTGACGTAAAAGCAAATTCGACGGAATGTATTTTTGAAATATTTGGCAATAGTACAAAATCGTTTTGAGTAATTTTTTTCACGAATTTTAACTGTACAAGGAATTTGTATTTTGAAAAAGTTTTTTATTTAAGATTTTCTTTTAGGCTAATTTTCTTTATACTCATCGCTCTTTCATTTACGTTTGGGGTCGATTCTAGCCGTTATCATTGGACTCTGTTAGATCCTATCGACTGGAATTTCCGGAAGTGAATTTCTATCGGTGGGAATTCCGATTGCCTTACAAGCAATGTAGCTACATTGCTAAGGATACGTGAGCACATGCACAATGTGAAAAGGTATTATGCATGCTCGGGACACGTGGATAAATTTAGACCAGCAACGTGTTTGCGTTCTACTTCCTAGAGGAGCGATCGAGCTGGCTAGATTTAAGGTCGGCCATGTCTCTGAGACGACGTCGATTGGACGTTCAACGTGGGATATTCGATTGTTTGAAAAACGGAATGCATCTCACCAAGTGCATCCAAGTGCATTCTGGGTTAATTATAGACCAGAGTCACCGAATATTCTTTATGGAATCTGCACGTTGCATACTTTCTATTGGTAAATTAATTTTGAAATTTTTTTTAATAAACAAAATTCATAAATTCAAAACCATTTTACCAAATTACGACATATATACTCAATAATACTGTTCAGGAATGCAGGGTGAGGTTAGGATAAATATACGTTCTTAGAATTGGTACAAGCCACGAGAATGCTTTTAGGGTGTTTCGGGGTTGATACTTGGTGATTTTTTTTTTTTCAAAAAATTCTTTGAATGTGGCGACACCGGGGTGAGGGGTGCGCATAGGAAAACGAATAGCTACGGTATGAGAAGATAGTGAAGCCAAGAGATGTGAAATGAAGAAAAAAAACGAGGATAGTAAAAATACAAAAAAAAATTAGAAACATGAGCTTTAAGGGAGGAAAAAACGAATAGAACGATCTTGGCTATATTTAAACAGACACGAGGACGCCGGTCGTCTCGAGTAAAGAGGAAAGACTCTTTCTCTCTCGTGGATCAAGAAAAAGGAACCACTCACCATTATGGACTGTACGAGGAGGAAAAGGAGGAAATATTGGTAGCGACAGTACCTGTACTGGTGGCAGTAAAAATATCAATACCGAAAGAACAGGAATGAATCAAGCAAAAGAGAAGCTAGCGAACGAGTGAAAGCCGATGAAAGAAAATCAAGAATAACACTTACTTGTCGTTTCCGGTAGGGGTGCAACTGGAACGCCAGTAAAGTCGGAGGCAGCCTGAAAAATAAAAAGGCACTGATTATAATGTCTTATCAAGAAAATAATAAACGTACGATCCCCTGAAAATGAGAGAAACACTGTACTTTTTTTTTTTGAAAATTATATTAAAAGTAATTTCATGGTACTGGTGCACGACCCTGTTTTTTCAGTGGTGCTGCATGCTCAAGATAAATTTGAATTTAAATACTCAAAATGGAAAATCCACCTACTCTCCTTCCCTGTATCACAGGCAATGACCGCCTCTTGATTCGGGCACGGCCGGCAACATATAGCTATGAGGTTAATTAATATTGACTCTCTGTAGACTTGGGGCAAATATTACCCCGTCTACATTCCGTCCTTCCTCGACCCATCTAACCCTTCGTTGCCAATATCGTTCTACCAATGATATTGTTCGATAAATATCCCGCGAACCGATTACACGTATTAAAACCAATTCCCAGGGTTCGTAACCGAAGCTCGACCCGACGTAGAGCCATCATCTAAACTAATCAATAAATCTAGATATCAATACCGCATTGGCGTTGAAGTATCGATCAGATTAGAAACGGCTCATGCATGACGGATAGTCCGAAGTGGGTGTAAAATAAAAAAAAGTATCAGCCTATTTTGAAAAAGTTACAATTTTTTGTAACCAAATTTTTTCCCACAAATTACTGTCTATAACGTATTTCTGGTTTTGTGCAAATATCAATCGAGAAGATTTTTGCTTTTTGGGTTAAGATTGAGAAAAAATGAAGTTTTTTTCCAGTACTCGTACGTACAAAAATAGAAAATAAAAGTCTGCCGGCGCATTGCTACGTTTGTGACCCGTGGATCCTTACTGCGTCCGTATTAATGCGCAAGGCGCACTCGGCTGTAGAGTTATGGGTTCTTGAGGCTTTACCTAGTGCGCGACGCGTGCCTCGTGGTTGGTACGAAAATAGGAAAAGTCTCGGAGGAATCGAAAGTTCCAGGAAGTCACGATGCCCTCGATGCTTTCGTCGAGACGCGATGAGATTTATGAGGCTTTATAGATGCTGAGGTCGGGTTGGGTGTGACGCGTCGCGACGCAGCGGGATGCGAGGTGATACTGAGGATTTGCAATGAAACTTGAAACTATTGGTACTTCGAGTGAAAACGCCTGTACCGTAGTACAGTATGTATTTTTTGGGATAAGATTTTACATTAGGATTCGTGCCAGATTCTGAAACTGGTATTTGCACTTGAATGTACAGGAATTGAAAATATTGTGTACTGTTAGTTTAAGAAATTGGGTATTATGTATATATATATATATATATATATA